AATAAATAAATAAATAAATAAATAAATAAATAAATAAATAAATAAATAAAAACAAAAAACCCTAAAATGATAATAATCATTATTATTATTAATTTAAATAAATAAATATTTTCTAAAAATATTCTAGAAAATGCAAACTAATATGAGTGACAGACAACAGTCTAGCAGCCGCCTGCAAACGGTAGTAGCTGGGCGATTATACGTTTGGGGGACTCTAGGGTGGGGAAAGGCTCACTGGCTCAGTTGTGAGGGCCTTGTGGGTAGGCATCCTGTCGAACTTACTCAGTAGGAGACTAAGGATCTAGCTCATCTAGCTCTGTGGCAGGGCGCTTGCCTCTCGTGCTGAAGGGCCTGGTTTCAGTCCCCAGTGCTGCACGCTCACCACAGCCGGACTGCGGTTCCTGCGAGTCTGTGTAACGGGAAAAGGCCTCCTCCGCTCGGTTGGGAGAAATGTGGGCTGCTGAGCCTTCCCATTCCTCGGGGTGATCCCTTGTTCCCGTCGGCACCCCAAGTCAGGGTCTAGGCCACGCTGAACGGTGAGCTGAGCAAACTTTTCTTTTTAAAGCTGGCCTGCCTCTGCTGGTTCACTCTAGTAACAAAACGATACAATAGTAAACTAATACAACACTAAACAGACGCCATGTGTTATGCATCAATTGTATCTGATAAACCAGGAAAAGAAGAAAGAACATCATCCCAAGGGGAGAGAGGGAGAAAGCCAAACAGAATGTAAACTCTTGTCTTTGATAGAAATTCCTCCAAGGAACGCAAAAGAGGTGGAAATCCCAAATCAAGAATAAGGCCAAGGACTGCTGCCAAGCCAGAAAACAGGCAGCAGAGCCGTGAGGAAGTGGCAGCCAGAGAGCCCGCTGCTGCCAGCGGCCCTTCAGCATCAGGGTGGGGCACAGCGGCATGGAGAGCCTGACTAAAGCAGAGTAAGCCAAGAGAGTGGAGAATCCCAGGTAAAACAAGGCTGCCAGAAGCGAAGAGGAAGACGTGGAGGAGCAGGAGGAGGGAGAGGAGGAGGGGAGCCTTTGTTTCCAAGTCAGTCCTAACACAGTGAGGCGGGCCCCAGCCCCTCCCCATTCACCATCCTCACGCAAAAGGTGGCAGAAGAGAGAAAAGGCAAGCAGCATGAATCTTCACAGAGCCGCCATAAGGATAACAGAATGAAAAGGAGAAAAGGACAGGAAAGGCGTGTAGCAGGTAGCAAGTTACTAGGGAAAATGTCACCAGAACCAACGGAAACTGCCACTGAGCCTTTCACTGTCAATTAAACAAATAAACAACAACAACAAAAGAATAAAGCAGGCGTCTAGAAAGCTAGAGCACTCAGAGAAGACAGCAGAGCTTAGGGTTAGGGGCAGGCAGGCAGAGACAGGAAAGCCCAAGTTGATGTGACTGAGGCATGAGGGGAGAAATTCAAGTGGGAGATAGCCCTGGGAAGAACCAGTGTTACTAAACGAGTCGGGAACACTGGGGGCTGGTAAGGCCTTACCGTGAAGCACAAGGACCCGAGTTCAGACCCCCAGAACCCACGTAAAAGCCAGGTGGGGCAGAGTGGCCCGAATAATCCCAGTTTGGGATTCCCAGAGCAGGCTGACTGGCTGGACTAGCCCAAACCCTGCAGCCCTGAGCTGCAGGGTCAATAATGGATGCTGCCTCAAAATGTAAGGCAGAGAGAAAGAGACCAAAGAAAACATCCAGTCAGCTTTCGGCTTCGGCCCTGTGTACACACACATTACAAACACACACCACAGGCATGCGCGCCTGTGTGCATCCGTGCATTAAAGGCATGCACCTTTAATGTCAGCACTCAGGAGGCAAAGCCAGGCGGATCTCTGTGAGTTCTAGGACCCCCTTGTCTACATAGTGAGTTTCTGCCTATTTGGGGTTATATTTAAAAAAAAAAAAAAAAAAGCCAGAGGTGGGGAAAATCAATCATTCAGGGCAGAGGAAAGGAAAGAGCACTCTGCTGGGGCACTGGGGAAGGGAGGAGTACTTATCTGAGGCAGCAGAGAGGGAGCACTTATCTGGGACAGCGGGAGGGGGAGGACTCAGCTGGGACAGAGGGGAGGGAGGAGCACTTATCTGGGACAAAGGGGAGGGAGCACTCATTTGGGACAGAGGGGAAAGAGGACTCAGCTGGGACAGAAACGGGGAACACTCGGCTGAGTGGGGAGCAGGCTGAGCTAACAGGCCCTCTCTCCCGTAGTGGTTGACTGGCTGGACAGCAGGTTGGGGACAGAGGACGGACACATGACCATCCTTTCCACCCCCACCTCATGCCCCATTATCAGAATTAGGAGGAAGCCTTAAAAATGGCAGACCAAAGCCCTCCCCCGAGCAGTCTAACCAAATCCACTCACGCCCTTCTAGTTTGAACTTGCGGTGCTGAAAGCGAGACGCTCAGGGACAGGAGCAGCTTGGGCCAAGGAAAGAGCCTGGGCTTGGAGCCCTGAGCTTAAGTTCAAACCATCTCTGCGACTCATTAGCTGTATGGCCTCAGGTCCCTGTATGGCCTGGAGGCAGCTGAGCTGGGGTGGTATGGGGGATGAGAAGTCAGCTGGTGGATATGTAGGGGGGAGCACTTGTGACCTCAAAGCTGGGGCCTGATGGGTTGAAAGCTTACAGCGTACGTGGAAGGCCAGATCGACAGGAGGAAGATGAGAAAGGCTCCAAGTCAGGGAGACTCCAGTTAGAGTGGGTAAACCCCTTCCCCCCCGATGGAGGGCAGCACACAGCACAGTGGCATCTGATTGATCTACATCTGGACAGATGCAGGGCCTGGGGCTTGGCCATGAATGGGACAATCCAGTGAGAGATCTGATGCACCATGCAGATAAAACGCCTGGTGCGTGGTGAGGGACGAGGTAAGGCAGGTTCCCCCCTGCTGGCCACAGGTAAAATAGCAGCTCCCAGTGAGGCCTGGATTATTTTCTTAGGCTGGGGCAGGGCTCCATTTCTTGAACTAGGAAACAGGAGAGCTAAGCAGACTGGAGTGCAGTTTGGGTCAAGGCTGTGGGGCACCCCTCATTGTCGGGTCCCCTCTGAAAGTGAGAGGAAACGGGGACCATTTTAGCAAATTCTGGGGACAGTGACTCTGGCCTGGTCTGCTTCCCTTTGGGACATCAGGATATCTAGCTTTTGCTTAGTAACTCTGATCCTGAGCTATCCACTGCAGGGCTGGTCAGGAGCCGACACTCCTTGTAACGACATACTGACAACAAAGCAGGGAGCTGGGGTGCCATGGGTGGCAGGACCCCAGAATCAGATTCAGGCTCTGCTCTAACACACTGTCCGGCCCAGCAATCCCATGTCTGCATGGTGAAGACCCAGAGATGGGAGAATGAAGGTCTAAAAGAGGGACTGAGGGACAGTAGCAAGAAAGAAATCCATGTGTGGTGGCACACGCCTTTAATCCCAGCACTCAGGAGGCAGAGGTAGGCAGATCAGAGTCCGAGGCCAGCCTGGTTTTACACATTGAGTTCCAGGGCAGCTGGGGCTACACAATGAGACCCTGTCTCAAAATGAAAGAGAGGGGAGGGTATGAAGCTGGAGGACAAATGGCAGACAGATGCATGTGTTCCTCAGAGTTCCGACTTCTTTCTATACAGTATTCAGCCTGTGTGCCTCACACAAGAGAAGAGATCTCATTATAGAGATATCTATATGCCACCATGTGGTTGCTGGGAACTGAACTCAGGACCTTTGGAAGAGCAGCCAATGCTCTTAACTTCGGAGCCATCTCACCAGCCCTCTGATATACTACTACTTCTAATTCACCAGTGATTCCAGTGGATCAGCACCCCAGAAACTCCTTAGAAGAGGTTCTGTGCCTCTTTCTGGCCAGCAGAACCATCAAGGAAAACAGAAAAGGAGTAGACCTAGTTCTTCTAATGTCCCTTCCCCTGGCCCCAAAGGGGTAACTGGACGGAGTTTTTAAAGCCCGGGCTCTAGGATCCAGTGGGCAAAATGCCCCTCAGAAGCTGTGTCACATACAAATCAGTTTTTGTTTTTGTTTTTTTTTTACATGCAAAATGGTCTAAGCTTCATCACACAGAATGTACTTTCTCCCCGTCAGGCAGCCTGTCACCTGTGCCTCTCACATCTAAACCTCACAGAAATAAAAATGTAACACCTTTGCCAATCATCACTTCTGTCTGAAAACTGCCAGACCAACCCTGAGGTATGGAGTTACCCATCGCTATGGCAGGAGACACAGGGACTTCTTGGCTTGCGGCCCCACAGCAAAGCCCCAAAGAGCCCAACCAGGTAGCTGCTAGTGAACCTGCAAGCACACAGCAGTGGCATGGCTGGCTTAGTTCTTGGAGGCTGCAGAAATGTGGGGAGACAAGAAAGGCCCTTTGACTAACCTGAACTCAGATACACTAGTTGGAAGGACAGCAGAGCCAGACTCAAACTTGAAAGCCCTGTAGCTAGCTGGATGCTTTGAAATGAGAAAGGGGCTTAGCCAAGGCTGTCAGAGTAAGAAACTCAACCTTTGGAAGGAGGCATAAACAGGAATTCAAGGTCATCCTGGCTTATGCGCAACCATTTTCCTGACCCCACCCCCCAAATCAAACTTAAGTCAAGCATGGTGGTACACAGCTGTAATCCCAGCACGAGACTGAAGTGAGCCTGGGCTGGGCTATAGAAATGGCTCCACAGACCCCATACAGAGGTCCAGGGCGTACCTATCTAAGAAAAATGTCCCCATAACTGACAAATAGCAACGCCCACTCCAAGTTCCAATGAAAACTTTCTAAGATCAAAATGTAAACTTGACCCAAAGAACTGACATTAAGAAGTTTCAGACCCAGGTGTGGTGATTCCACTTAAGAGGCGGACAGAGCCATGTGAGTTCAAGGCCAGTCTGGTCTATAAAGTGAGTCCAGGACAGCCAGGACCATACAGAGAAACCCAGTCTGGGATGGTGGGACGGGGCTGGGACATGGGGACAGTTTCAGTTAAATCACTTAACACTTGTGTGCCAGGCAAATTTGAGACTTTGAGTTTATTAACTGTAGGTAACAATAATTTAAAAGGTACAATGGGATCTCATATTACAGAAATAATATGTAAAACTATACAATAGACTAGTCAGGGTAGGGCTGATATGATAGCAGTTAACAAGAAGGCTAGAAAGCAATGTACATCACAAGTCCAGGTCACACTTGCTTTTATTATTTTGGTTTAAGACAATCCCACTTATGTGCCCCCAACTGGCCTCAAACTCACTAGGTGAATTATGGCTTTTGCTCTTTTCCCTAAACAAAAAAACAGATTAATGCACATAAAAGCAGATTAATTTGAACTAGCTATTCACTGTATCTATTGACTTGTATTTCAGTTTGAAAGGAGTCTGAATGGAACACACATGAACATCTGGTGTTTGGGAATTCACCAGGTATGTTGGCACAAACCTTAATCCCAGTATTTGGGAGACACAGGCAAGTTTGAGGCTAACCTGGTCTACATATCAGTTTCCAAGCCAAGCCAGAGATACAGTTATACCGTCTTAAATAAACCACCATGTGACACTCATGTTTTAGGCAAATGTCAGAATTTACAGTACTATCCTAGCATTTGCAAACTTCAAGATAATACTGAGTATTAAAAAAAAAAAAAACCTGTAATTTCAAATAAATGGATCAAGTTTCAATAGTACCTAATAAAAATGAGAACAGACACAACTTTCAGGAAAGCCAATTTCAGCCCTGACTTTACCACTGACAGGAGCATAACTGTGCTCACTACAGTAAAGTCCTATGACGTCCTTTCAAGACTCCACACTGACTAGAAATGGGGCAAAGCACAACTTGGGGGTGGGGGGGACAGAAACACAAAACATACTGTTTGTTTTTTTAACATAAAAGGCAGGTGTTCCAAATCATGGCTAAGTTTCTAGTGATTCAAAGTTGGAGTTCTCTATGCTGAAATACTTTTGAAGCAGGGGATGCCCCAGTCTATGGGTAACACACCCTGTATCTGACTGGCACCAGCAAGCTAATGCCGAGATTGCACAGGACTGACTGACTTCAAAGCTGAAGAAGCACTAAGGAACAAAGCCTGGAAATGACATGCTTATTCAACACCAACTTAGTCTCTTAGACTTGGAAGGGACTGCCATCAGTGGTAAATGGAACACTTCCTGCTTGGCCTAGAAACCAAGTAAACCAGGCGTCCCTACCTTAGCAGTACTATGTGTGCAAAGTGCCAGTTTTATATACAAACTTGTTAAGTAAACGCTGCATGTGTGCAGGAAGCAGTGAGGGAGGCTGACTTCTTGAAACAGCCTTGTGGCATCTAAACGTTTAATCCTGCTTGCTAAGGGTCACCTCTCGTAAAAAGCCTGGACCAGTGCTGTTGGAGCTTTGATGAAGTTAAAGGTGGTGCCGATACTGCTTGTAAAAGCCAAGGACAGGACCTCCCCTACGAATGCAAATACCTTTGTTTTAATCATCCTTTCCAATGACACGCCTAGCATAAGCAGGCTGGACTGAGGTAGCTACACAGTTTTTAGACACCTGCTGACAAATTTAATGACAATTCATGGTGTAGCCAGTTGGTTGTTTCTGCTGATTTTAATCATAAGGGGAGAAAAATCAGCAAAGAGCACATGATCAGTTTACTTAGAAGTCAGCATCCAAGGTAAAAGAATTCTCTGTTGAACTTGACATCACACCCATCCTCTGGTACTCGCCTACTCGCTTCTCAAAGAAGTTTGTCTTTCCTTCTAGTGAAATATTTTCCATGAAGTCAAATGGATTTTCTACTCTGAAAATCTGGAAAAGTAGCATCAAGATATAAATTGCTGAAAACAAGTGAAAGAAAAAAAGGAAAAGAAAGAGTATAAGGCCATAAATAACACTTTACCTTGTTAAATCCCAGCTCCAGCATAAGCCTGTCGGCCACGAATTCGATGTACTGCTTCATCAAAGTGCAATTCATCCCAATGAGCTTCACAGGCAAAGCTTCCGTGAGGAACTCCTAGAGGCCAAGCCAAGCTTGAGTACCCTGAAGCCTGAGGACCCCTTCCGGGAAGGGAAAGAGCAGTCCACACCCATCACTCACCTGCTCGATCCTAACTGCGTTGACAATTATCTCTTTCACTCTCTGCTCCGATGGCTTGTGTACCAAGTGCTTGAACATCAGGCAGGCAAAGTCACAGTGTAAACCCTGGGAGGGAGTTCAAGGTCACTGTGAGGGCGAGAACTCCCGCTGTTCACACATTGACTAAATGCTCTATCCATCTTATCTTTACAATCTCGTGCAACTTGTCTGAGCACACTGAGGGCTCTTAGCCTGACAAGAGGAAGGTATTTAAGCCTGGTACGGTGGTTCACGCCTGTGAGCCCAGCATTCTGAAGCCAGAGACAGAATCACCCGTGAGTTTGAAGCCAGTCTGGCCTACACTCTTCCAGGCCACAGACTGCCAAAAACAAAAACAAAACACAGCAAGAGAGGAAAAATAAAGCAGGTAAAAAAAAAAATTAGGGGCCAATTGTGATGCCATGGAGTAGGCTAGCCCAACTCAAGGCCCTCAAAGCTGCCAACTATTGAAACACAGAGCCAGGTCTATTCCGTTCTGATACTTTGCTCAAGTATCTTCACAACTACAGGCTCTAGTCCTCATCAACACGGAATGCCAGTTAGCATTCAGATACTCAGGAATTAGAGACACTTCCTTCTACCTTTCTTTATTTCAAAGACCTACATGGAGCCCAAGCAAAGCCTTGCCTCATCAGGAGGCTTACCAGTTAACTTGGGAAGAACAAAGAAACACAAAGGATCGTGGATGATACCCTAAAGATTCTATTAAGAGCTTTTAGTTTACGCATTCAAGCCTACAGAATAGGAATATATGTACTAAGGAAACAAGGAGTTTCAATACATTACTTAAGGTATTTTATTCTTTGCTGAGTATATGTATGATCAAGTTTACACATTAACTGTGGATCCAGGCCTAGGGATATAGCAGAGTACTTGCCTAGCAAGCATGAGAGCCCCTAGGCTGGGTCCCCAAGACTCAAAATGGCCCAGCAGTCAACAAAGACCATTTGCTGCTTTTGCAGAGGACCCCAGGTTTAGTTCCCAGCACCTACACAGTGGCACCCCGCTGCCTCTTGTCCTCTGCAGACAAAACACCCACATTCTTTAAATGTGACCACACCTCATTTCTCAAGCTCCCACCAGCAGACACAAGAGCACGTATCTAAGAGCCACAGATTAGATCATTATTTCAGACTCACCTCGTCTCTGCTAATAAGCTCATTGGAAAACGTAAGGCCGGGCATCAGTCCCCGCTTCTTGAGCCAGAATATCGATGCAAAAGAGCCAGAGAAGAAGATTCCTTCCACCGCTGCAAAGGCCACAACACGCTCTCCTAGCAAAAGACAACGCGAAAACATTTGTAGTGAGTGAGGCCTCGGTATTCTGAGCATGGGCTAACAACCCAGCAACATTACTTGGACAATCCAGTTCGGGCTTAAGGAAGAAAGTGTCCTCACCATACGTAGCCTCCTTGTCCCCAATCCAACGCAAGGCCCAGTCGGCCTTTTTCTTCACACAGGGCATGGTTTCAATAGCATTGAAGAGATACTCTCTGTGGGCAGAAGTAGAGCCATGAACTGATACCACAGATACCAGGCAACACAGTAGGTGTAACGCAGGCCCCTGATTCAATACTTCACCTCCACTTCCCATCCTGAGGCTTACTGGCCACCTGTCAGTCCTCTCCAATCTACCTCAGTAACATAAAGCCTTCTTTATTTCTCTACAATTCCCTAAGGTAGAGCAAATTTCAGCTAATCTTGTCTAAAGTAAACTTTTGGACTCAGTATCAGTATTCTCTGGAGATTGTAATTCCCCTCAGTTTCACCATTTTGTTTCTTTTTTAATAAGCATTTGTAGCCTTAAAAGTTATCTTTTTATGTATGAGCGTTTTGCCTGAATGTTGTCTGTGGATGGTGTATGCGCAGTGCTTGTAGAGGCCAGAGAGGGCACCGTATTTCCCCATGACGGGTTACAGCTGTTGTGAGCTACCTGTAAGGGCTAGGAACCATAAAACTGGGTCCTTTCCAAGAGCCACAAGTGCTTTGTCATTGTCATCTCTTCAGTCCCTGGTTTGTTTTGTTTTTGAAGCAGCATTTCATCTGACTAGCCTTTGAACTCTTGGTCTCTGGGGTGCTGGGATTACAGACATGTTACCAGGCACTGGATCTTATAACAGAAGAACTAATAGAATTTAGGCCCTGTGCTTAAAGCAGTTGTGACTAGGCATACTAGAAGTACTCACAGCTGCTTAGTCATTCTGCTCATTTCCCCATTATGAACAAAAATACTTGACATAAAGTAATTAAACTAATGAATCCCAAGCATCTTGGCATGCCGTGTGGACACTCACCTTTCTTTGGAATCCTTAATGTAAGTGTCAATAAGGAGACTGTACATTTCAGAGTGTATGTTTTCCATGGCAATTTGAAAGCCATAGAAACAACGGGCCTCTGTGACTTGAACTTCTTGGCTAAATCGCTCCACCTAGTGGCAGTAAAATAAATCAGTTAGAACAAACTACTGCGGACTGTGCACGCCTGCAATCGCAGCACTCAGGGAGGCAGAGGCAGGCAGAGTTCAAGGTCATCTTAGTCTACAAAGAACTCCAGGACACCAAGGGCTACAGAGAAGCCTTGTCTCAAAAAAACCCAAAGCCTACTGGTTGTACCACCTTCTCTGCTAGGATCAATCCCAGCCCTCCAGCAGGTAGGAATCTGAACATGAGGCCATGCTGGTATATTTTCTGAGTTTTAGGCCAGTCAGAATTATAGTGAGAACTTGTTTCAAAAAAACATAAGTAAAACAAAACCAACAACAGGTATATATTTAATACAATTTAATCCTATATACTTAATACAAGCCTTCATGATTCTACAATAAAGCTCATTATTTCATGACATATGCTCAATTTACTATTTTGCCAGATATTTTAACAAAACTGTTGATTTTTTTTTTTAAAATATGCATAAGTGTTTTAACTGCATGCATATCTATGAACCAGAAAATGGCATCAGAGCCACTGGAAGTTAGGCTAAAGGGAGTTTTAAGCTTGTGGAGTACTTGTGAAATACTTGAAGAAGCTTATGAAAGTCTGAAGTTGTTACTGAGAATCAAATCCAGGACTTTTCTATTTTCTAACTGCTGTCAACCTCTGAGCCCCTCTCCAGGCCCTGCAGAGTTTCTTTTAGCATTTCATTATCCCCTCAAACACAACTTAGGTGCTCTGCACAAGCAGGAAGTGTCTTAACCAGAGTGGAGCCATCTTTCCAGCCCCCATTCACAGCACAAGATATAGAACGTCACACATCCGTTCTATACCTTTTAACTGAATTACAGGTTATTTCAGGACGACTCACCAGGTTTTCATTGACTATGCCATCACTTGCCGCAAAGAAAGCCAGAACATGAGATATAAAATGTCTCTCGTCGGGTTTCAGAGCTTCCCAGTGCTGAATATCCTTGGAAAGGTCCACCTGCAGTTGAGAAACTCACAATTTTAGCGGGTATGCAGAATTGACCCCCCATCTCTCACACACTCTGCATCCAAAATCCCCTTTGCTCATGAGAACACCTGATATCTCAGTGAGCAGCCATTCCCAACTGGAATCTAGGCTCATCTTGAAAAGTTGTGGTGGCCCTGCAGGAACCCTCTGTCCCGGCCAAGTGCTGAATGATTACCTCTTCAGCCGTCCAGAAGGAGGCCTCGGCTTTCTTGTACATCTGCCAGATATCATGGTATTCGATGGGAAAGACAACGAAGCGGCGGGGGTTTTCTCTCAGTAACGGCTCATCCTCAACGCTGGGGTTGGCGGGTACTTTAGTTTCCTGTTAGGTGAGAAAAACCACCACCCCCAAAGGCCAAGTGAACAATATGAAAACTGCCAGCGCCTCACCCATCCGATCAGGTACTTTCAAGGATGGGCAATTTCGTTTCGTGTGGTTAGCTGTCCCGTTGCTTGCTACTGTTACCCTCCTAGCAGGGAGGGGTAGGCCGACCCGGGCAGGCCGCTCTAAGGAGACACGTTGGCGGGAAAGAGAGGCGCGGCAGCTCGGACAATGCAGCTTTGGCGCCAATGCGCGCCCCCTGACGGCAGCCCCCCCAGCCCCGCACGGACCACTCACCAGCTCGGCGGGGTCCTGGAAGATTCTCCTCGCGGCCTTGCTGGCCAGGACGCGGGTCCCGCTGAGGGTCGGGGGCTGAGGGCGACACGCGTGCGTGAGCGGCGGGAGCCCTCCACCTCCTCCACCCTCCCGGCTCGGTCCCGCCAGGGCAACCCCCGGCCCCTCCGGCCCGGGGGCCGCGCTCACCGTGTTCTCCTTGTCAGCCAGGCTGAGCCGCTTCAGCGGCGACAGCTGCAGCTGCTGCTGATCAGCGATGGTGGCGAGCGGGACGCGGACGGAGAGCATGGCGAGCGGGAGCGGCGGCGGAGACGGGCGACAGGCGGAGGGGCGGCTGGAACCCGGGCACTGGCGGATTACCCGCGCCCGCGTCCTTTAAATGCAAGGCCAACCGCGCGCTGCGGAGGGGGCGTGGTCCGGCCTCCCATTGGACGCGCCCGTCCCCGCCGAGCGCGGGAGATTTGAGTCGCGCCGCCGGCCTTTACGCACAAAGACCTTCCCGGAGTTTGCGCCGCCCTGGAGCGCGCGGGCGCTCGCGGGGCCGGAACCGTTTGGGCCTGGGAGAGGCTCGGCGATTGGTAGAGCACCGAGCGGCGCGGGGCGTTGCCGCCGAGGTCGGTGCCGAGGGTGGAGGGAGGCTGCCGACCTCTGGGACACGTCGCCTTGACTGTCTGTGCGTCCCCGGTCTGAGGAGTGCGGGGCACCCGGCCAGGGGCGGCTGAGCCCCGCATTTTCCAGTCTTGTGACCTGGTTTCCTAAAGATTCGGGACCCCCGAGTCATAGGACTCGGAATCGCACCGACCCTGTGAGATTTAAGAGTGGGGAGGCCTTAAAAAAAACTGCGATCCGCCGCAAGCCTTCCACTCACTAAGGGGTACGGAGGCGGCCTTGGGTGCCGTTTTCCACCCCGCCGCATCTGTCAGGCCCCTTGTCCTCCGTGCCCCACTTTCAAAACAAGTTGCAAACCGAACAAGAATTCCAGAAAGTTCAGGAGATGATGAGGAGCCATACCTTCATTTTATGACTCCCCTGGGCGTCCAATAGTCGGAAGACGAATCTGAAAATTCCTGTGGTGAGGGTGGAGACAGGAACTCGGTTTTCTTCTGGTTTTGTAGATGGCTGCTCTCTGATATGCCCTCTGGGGTCCAAGATACCAGAGCTAAGTAGACAGAAGGGACGCACCAGGGATCCTCCTCCTTGGACAAATATTAAGTCAGGGTGAGAGCCTCCCCTCCGCTTCACCGCCATGTCCTAAGCTCTCTCTCATTGTAGATGTAAGAAAAAACTCACTGAACAAAAAGTGGCATCAAACTTTAGGCAGGCAATTTAGTTTCTAAGATATAAATACATTGAAGCAGATAGCAGACGTGTTCAGTTTCCCACACAAACCAGTGTCCTTCCCCGCCCCCCGCCAAAACCAAACTTATCCTCCTTGACCTTGATCTGATCCTCCTGCCTCCAGCTCCCAAATGCTAAGGTTACAGCTTGCGCCTACCACTGCGCGACTTACATGGTGCTGAGGACAAAACCTGGGACTTCTTCCATGCTAAACCAACTGGGCCATATCGATAAATATTTTTTGCTAATGGTTTGATTAACAAACTTATCGCTTCTAGCAAAATTATCAGTTGTTTTTTTTTAAACATAGTACCTAATTCACATTCTGCTTCTCAGTTATCAGTGTGTCGGGGCTAGCTGCCTTTGGTTGCTCTAATTCCTGGTGTATTTAGTACGAGTGAGGTCCTGCCTACTAAAATAATAGTCAGGCACCGAAGAAGGAGGGAGAAGCTCGCCGCCATTCTCCCCTCCGGGACTTCAACCTCCAAGTGCCTCTTCCCGCCAAGCGGGCTGAGCTAGGTGGGCAGCTCCGCCTCTGCTCCCTCGGTGCCGGGACCTGTCAGGAGCTGCTCCTCCGCATCAGAGGCTGGCTTTGACCTTTGCTTCGTGATTGGTCGGCTCCGCTTCAATCCGAATATCGCAAGCCCCGCCCATCCCCTCAGCCCGCGCTGGGTGGTCACTCCCAGATCTGGGTCACAGCGGCTTTAAGGGGACTGGAGGTGGAGTCCCGGGTGAGATCCTGTTCTTCACCCAAATTCACTCAGCTGTCGGCATCAGACTGACGTAAAAATGGGCACAGCAGCCGCAGCACAGCTGGGCCAGGCTGTGTACGTTCTTAATCCAGATGAAACGGGGAAATGGCTCGCTCTAGGCCTGTGTCATAGGTAAGGGAGGAAAGGCTGGAGAGGCCTGGAAACTAGCCACAGTCCCACAGCACCTTGAATCGAACCACTAGACCCTGTCTGACTCCTCTGTGTGTGTTTGAGTTTGTGTGTGTGTGTGTGTGAGAGAGAGAGAGAGAGAGAGAGAGAGAGAGAGAGAGAGAGAGAGGAGATGGACTAGCGTGAAGATCAGAGGCCCACTTGTGGAAGCTGGTTTTCTTCTTTTCTCCGGGGTCCCAGGGATGGAACTCATAAGCTTAGGCCTCACTGCTGAACCATCTTACCAGACACACCTTTTTATTAAGAATGTTTCCAACATACAGAAAAAGGAAGCAGGGCATGATGGCACAACTTGGAAGACAGAGGCAAGCAGATTTCTAAGTTCAAGGCCAGCCAGGTCTACATAATTGAATTCTAGAACAGACAGGACTACGAAGAGAGGCCCTGTACCAAAAACAAAAAAAAATTTTTAAAGCAAGAAAAAGTGAGCTGTCCAGGGTTCACTCACCAGTGTCCATTTGCTGTTTTCCTATTTGCAGTTTGCCTTGTTCTTTTCTGCACAGGTGTAAAGTTCATTGCTTTCTTCATGGCACTTGAATGTGACTTATGCCTGAGGATGGTGGCATTTACTCTTACTCCCAGCGAAATACATTTTTATTAGGAATGCTCCCAAAAGTACAGAAAGAGAGAGCAGGGCAAGATGGCATGCACCTTTAATCCCAGCACGAAGAGGCAGAAGCAGGTGGTGGATCTCTGATTTTGAGGCTAGCCTGGTCTGCATAGTAAGTGCCAGACCTGTTTAGGCTACCTAGTGAGACCCTATCTCTAAGTAAATCAATCAATCAATAAATAATAAATAATTTAGGAAGCAGGAGAGTCGTGAAAACTTACTGCTCTCTCAAAGGACCTAGGTTTGGAGCCCATCACCCACATGGTGGCTCACAACCATCCAAAATTACAGTTCCAGGAGCTCCAACATCCTTTTCTACCCTAGGGCACGGTCAGACATTATTAAGACTAATAGTAAATGACTAACAATAAGTGACCTCAGCCTGGGGCCGACCGCTTGACACAGGCCTGCTTGCACGGATGCTTTCTGTGCAGGCTCGTGGCTCTGGCAGCGCGTGCTGTGACAGTAGGGGCACCTCCTTCGTGACCAATGGCTTTGTTTGCTGGCTAGGGCTGACACAAGCAACCCCAGTTTGATCTTGGCAACTTGTATTTCTTGTATTTCCTTCACAACTGAATACTAGACGACAGTAAGACATGTTCTTTTTCTTAGGTACAAACATAGTGTTGTGATGTTAGAAAATAGCTTTATTTTTAGGATCAACCTGTTGAAGCGCTGAGTATCAATTTTTTTTTTTTTTTTTTAGCAGGATCTCACTATGTAGCCCTGGCTAGCCTGGAATTCCTTATGTAGACCAGGCTGATTGAGCTCACAAATATTTGCCTGCCTCTGCCTTCTGGCATCAAAGGTTTTCGTCACTATGTCCAGCTTACAGATCACACACTTACTTTTATTTTATGTGTCTGAGTGTTTTGCGTATCCAGAAGACGGTGTTGGGTCCCCTGGAACTGGCTTTGATAGCCACTGGGAGCCACCATGTGGGTGCTGAGAACTGAATCCAGGTCCTCTGCTGGAGCATCATGTGTTCCTAACCACTAAGTCATCTCTCTACCCAGAACACCGTGGTCTATTAAAAAAAATCTTTGTTCATTTAAGACAGGACCTTATGATCTCAGGCCGGCCTTCGACCCAGCCTGTAGCTGAGGATGACCCCGAACCTCTGTTGTTCTTGTCTTCACCCCTCTGTGTGCAGATCGCAGGTGTGTGCCCCTCTGCCTGGTTACATATACCTGGTTCACATTGGTGCTGGGAACTGAACCCAGGGCTAGCACTCTGCTGAGTGTCTGCCCTTAACTTCTTTCTTAATACAAGGTGTGTATGTGTGTATGTGTGTTCGTGGGGTGGGGGAGGGGTTGAACTTCAAAGTTATTCTGAACTAGAGGACCTGGAGCAACCTATACAAAGATTGGCAAGTAGGATGGAAATGCCACCACCTGAGGGGAGGATGGAAGGACAAAGGCAGATTTGGACAGATAAAACTGCTGCAGCCACTCTGACTACCCGCTCAGCTGAACAGTTAGGTAGGAGGCAGTAAAAACAAAACACCAGGAAGATGAGCCTTGCAGTGACGCAATGATGAACTTCCCAGAAGTGTGGCTGCAAGAGATCAGTGTGATGGAATGAGAGGCCCTACAGGGGAGAGGGGGGTGGGAATGTCCTAGCTACTCATTCACCAGATGCCCTTGACCCAGGCCCTCGGGATCTGTCTGTCTGTCTATCTATCTATCTATTTTTCTTTCTTTTTCTCTCTTTCTCACTTCCTTTCTTGTTTTCTGTTTTGTTTGGTTTTGGTTTTGGTTTTGGATTTTTTGGTGTTGATGTTGGTTTTTGTGTCTCGGTGCGGCCCTGCCTGTCCTGGATCTAGATCTGTAGACCAGGCCATCCTTGAACTCAGAGATCCTCCTGCTTCTGCTGGGATTAAAGGCGTTTGTCACCTATCAGCTCAGCATGAACTTTTAATTTTTTTTTTTAGGTCTGTGTATTTTTTGTGTGTATTAAACATTGTATCTGTATGCGTGTGTGCCCGGTGCCTGGGAGGTCAGAGTCCCCTGGAACTGGAGTGACGGGTGGTTGTGAGCACGGACTTTATAGAGGCATTTTAATGGGTTGACGGTATAGAATTTGAGACAAAATTGTCACTCATACCTGCCATGTGTCGAAGACCCCTCTGATAGAAAACACTGAAAAATCTTAAGAGGTCAGATTCCCCAGAGGAAAGATAGGGCCAGGGCCTAAGTCAGCACTCTGGAGTCTACAGGCTCCTACAGAATTCCTGCCCTCCTGGCTTGGACTCGGCCCGCTGCCTCACCTCCCTCATGGAAAGTGGGACCAGCAAGATGGCCCAGCAGCAAGGGAACTTGCCCCACAAGCCCCGCCACCTGACTTTGAGCCTCAAACCGAATGCTGAGCACTCAGTAATAATCAATGTCTGGTCTTTCTTCCCCAAGTGGGTTATTAATACTCAACAGCTTGGTGTCTGAAGTG